TAAGAAAACTTTATTAAAGTGGAATATTTACTGTTCAGTGTGACTTATTACTAGGTAGGCGCTTGTCACTCAGAAGAAGCTCAGCTCAGATTGTTAGTTGAGCTTTAAAATTAAACAATCGATATTTAATATGAATTTGGAATAGACCTTTAACTATGCGAATAATCAGCAAAGCGCACCGTTAACGTTCTCTGTAAGTTTTGAATATTTTTTATAACATTCGAGCTGTAATACTATAATTTAATTTTATTGCGTTATTGCGTTTTGCTTTATTCTATTTAAAAATATTCCAAAATAAGCTTTTGCAACATTTCAACAGTTTTATTGTATTTTACTTATTTATTTATTTAGTGTTTTTTTTTTTTTTTTTGCAATTTTTTATCTTTTTTGTCTGTTGCAGTTTTTCAATACTCAAAGATTCCTTTACTGAAATCTCTTCTTCTTAATTTTCATTATTTTATTAGTCCTGACTGCTTGACTATATATTTTTTAAAATCTTTGTATTTATATATAATTTTATATTTTTTTAACCATTTGACTATGGGTTGGGGATAATAATATATCTCTTTACATAGTGGATTATGCAGATCAAATATCTTAAAATTCAATGCCTAATAAAATGGTTTGAATTTAAGCTTGACTTATAATAAAAAATTTTAATTTTAATTTTTTTTTTTAATTAATGTCAATTAGAAATATCTCTTCACTACATACAAATATTTTCTCTCCAAGTCCACAAAACTGAATAAGCTCGCCACTGCGAAATAAAAAGTCCACAGCCAAAACTTAATTACATTTCTCAAAACTTCAAAGAAGTGTGCTCAAGGTTGGTCCCACTGTTCTACAGTGTGACCGTTGCCCGCTTTGAGCTATGTACAAAAGCCAAAATGAACTTTTGGCCATGTATGTAGCAGTGCAATAAACGTGATTACAAAAAGTAACTCATCTTGTTGGTTTGTTTTAGCACAAAAGTTGCTTTGTGCACATTCCTTGGCGCTTTGGCCAAATGAAAATGAACTGAAAATGTGATATTGGAATTCCAATGGCTTGGCCAATACGGACAGCTGGCATTAAACAATTGCAAAGTTGCAAAGTCTTGACCACAAAGACCAGCCACACGCAGTCAGAGAGCTTAAAAACCACACACACAAACACATGCACACACACACACACACACACACACACGCACATGCAGTTGTCTTGGCCGAATCGAATGGTATTGCCCTTCTGGCCATAGGTAACACTTATCTGGGCCAAGTTATGTGGCACTTCAAGCAGTTGGCCAGTTCGCACTATCGCCTGCAATTTTGACTGGCAATAAATATGCCATAACAATAACTAAAACCAACTAATATCCGATAACTTTGGCTAAGGCCAAAGTGGAAATGTAGCGTGAAAAGCTGCAAGCCAATTGCGACAATAAACCAACCCCATCTCCCACTGTCACTCCCCCTATCACTTTCTCTCTCTCTCTCTCTCCTTTTGCATCAGCATCATTTTGCCAAACATGAAACAAATGCATAAGTAAATACCAGAAACGAGTGACTTTCAATATCCTTACAGGCTTATTGCTTACAGCAAATTTCACGCCAAAACCCAAGCAGAATGGCAAGTCGAGCAGGCGAAAGTCGAAGAGGAAGCCAATGCGAATGCATTTACACATTTGCAAACACAACACACACACACACACACGCACACACAGATAAATACCCACATAGCAGACAGTTGCAAACATGCAACATACAAATATGCGTACATCGACAGAGAGTGGAGACGCCCCAAGGGATCCGCCAAGGGATCTCTGCTGAGGCGGAGTCGGAGCATGGCTGTGAACGTCTGGAGCATGCGATGCGATACGATACGTTACGATACGATTCGGTTTCGGTCTGCTCCATTTCAGTTGGCAGGGCTATGTGAGAGTCATGTGTCTGAGTGCGTCGCTGCCTGGAACGCATTTACGTTTATTGCATTTGTAAATTATTCACACAAGGATATTAAATGCAAATTGTGAAATAGACGACACATACAAGCGCTCCCTCTCACTCGCCCATCTATATATATATATATGGCTACAATATCCGGCGCTAGCCCCCGCCCGACCCAATTCGAAAGCCAATCGAATAGCAAACCCAATGCATAGCGCCACGAATTACTCAAATGCTGCATATGATTGTCGCATTGACAATGCATTTTTGTTGCGCAAACGAGTGTGTGTGTGTGTGTGTGTGTGTGTCGCACTCTGTGTGCCGACTGCAAATGCAAAGAATCTCATTTCATATAAAGCCATTAACGACAACTCAGACAGCAGCAACAACCGAGCGCCTACAGCCCACTGAATTAAACACAATCGAGTTACGACTTTCAGCAGTCGGAGGAGTTGAAGGGAGTCGAAAGCAAAACGTCAAGTAGCTAGTTAGCAACCTGAGTATTTGATTAGACACTCAACAAATTGAGCGTTAGCCATCGGAGCCAGCTTTGAAGTCAGCAGAATCAGCATCGATTGTAAATGAATAGTATTTATAGCCTTGGATTACGTTTGAGCATCACAAGTCCTCAGTAAATGCTCAAGCAAGCAATAGCAGGTCCAATAGCTAGTTAGGTAACTTCAAATTTGATAAATTGAACTCGACACATTGAAAAGTTCTGCTTTGTATCGTGTGCAATTGGCATATTCAATAGAACTTCTAGTTGTTTGCACTCGCATCGTGATAATATAGAAGAAAGTTTCTTAACTTTCAATTGTATTTAGAATATACGCAATCAACTTCGATTTACATTATATAAAATACGACTTACCTGTTGCTCTAGCAACTAAACTTTTATGGAATTGCAACTCGGGGTTTCTTACCTCCGATATGACCTCAAGAAATAAGACTTAGACTCCTCAACATCGAGGCTGTTAATAGAGCAATCCCAAAATTTCAGTTTGGATTCAGACTACAACACGGCACTCCGGAACAGCTACACAGAGTTGTTAGTTTCATCCTAGAAGCCTTGGAAAAAAAAGGAGTATGCAGTCGCCGCCTTTTTAGACATAGAACAAGCCTTTGACAGACTTGGACTTCTTCATAAAGCTGAGCGCCTGTTTCCACCACAACTGTACGAGCTTATAAAGAGCTACATATTTCGAAGAGCGTACATTCCGAGTAACAGTTGATTGCTTCAAGTCCTCTGCTAAAACAATAGCAGCCGGAGTCCCTCAAGGCAGCGTCCTTGGCCTGCTCGTCCTACTCAATTTGAAAGGCACGTTACTTTGCTGCAACAGTCGTTCAGGTCCAAAGTGGCTAAGTTGTCTTGGCTGCTAGCAGATCGTAAGAAACTCTCTTTGGACCACAAGGTCAAGAAGAGGTATATCTTAGGAACTGATTTCGGGTTCAGAAAGGTTGGCTGGCGAAGCAAAAATAATAAATGTCTCAGTTAAAGATATAGCAAACCTCTTAATTTGTATCAAAGGGTATTATGACTATTAAAATTTTCATGCTACGGAATTATACATAAATCCGTTGTTTTACTAATTTAATAAGTTTTTAAATATTTATCTATATACTGTTAATTATGAAAAGTAGAGAAAAATAATGCAAAACGATTAGTCCATGAGATTGTGCACTCATTATTAAATTAACTTGATTTTGTTTAGCTATGAAATTCACGTTCTCTTTGTATTTATATCTCAAAACAACCCAGTTTCAACTGTCAATTCTTTAGGCAAGCTCTCAAATAGATGCTGTCCTTTGGAAATTGTTGTTCTTAACTTGGGGAAAATTAGATTTGCATGTTACGCTCGCTGGCACCTTTTTGGGCACAAACTTTGTCCACATGCTGCTGCTGCTCCTGCCGAACTAAGAACTAACTGAAGTATATCTAAACAAAAGTCTAATGTCAAATGGTTTTAGTGCACAGCATCTGCATGCGTGTTAAATTTCGTTAGTGAAATTTCAACTTTATGAACTTTTCCACAGCCCGTGTTTTCCGATCCTTCTTTTTCCACTACCGAGCATTGCCCTGTGGGGCCTGGGTTTGTTTTTTGTGTGTGACATGTTTTTGACAGTGTTTTCCATTTTGTTTATTTTATTTTATTTATTTTTTCCTGCTTTTTAGGCTAAAGGACACACAAGTTTATAAGCTAGCTAAAACTAAGGAGAGTAATGGGGGTGTTGCATGGAAAGTAGAATATCTCTCTGTATGAATAATTTCTAGGAAAGAAATTCTATTTCTATTCAGTAGTAATTGTATAAGATGTAAAGCTGAAACTCAATCTACGGAATGGATTATATATTTGAATAAAATGATTTATTTATATATTAATAAATAAAAACCACAAGGCTATACTTTAATATTTATTAATTATTATGCTCATACATAGCAATATATACTTTAGTATTTACTAATTATATATAACAAATTTGTGTTGAGTGCATTATAAAAATTTAATATACAAATAATATATAATATTTATTATTTAATATATGACATGCAAAATGTTATAAGAATTAAAATTACATAAACAAATATTGTCATTTTTAAACATTTATCAAGACCGTTTCGGTGGAAAATGCTCGACTAGAAAACTACCTAACCTTTTTGGGCTGAAAGGAATGTATGTATAGATAATAACTTTATATGTAGTTCAGGGTAACTTCTTGTCAGGCTAATACTTATTCAAAAATTGATTTTATTTAACTACATATATACATATGTAAAAAATTATGTATTCTTAAGTATTTATATATTATTAAAGAGACACATTACAATTGTATAATATTTAAATGTAAAGTTAGGTTCGATATGTAAATGCGATAATTGCATGTTTTGCCTGAGTCCTGTGGGGAGAACTGTAGCAGCTGTCAACCGAAATCGAGTTAAATAGCCGCTATTAACTGACAATTATCTACTATGCAATTTTCCTCACCTTATTTATTCAAATTGCAGTCCACTTAGCTCGCAGCAAACAGCCAAATACGAGGCTATAAAAAGCTCAAATGATGCCAACGCTTTTCACAGTCAAAATGTACAAGGTGAAGGAGCTGCAACTGACGCAGGATAGCTTCGATAATCCCATTTTCAGCCTGCACTTGCGCTGTTTTCGCTGGTATGGCTATGTGGCCTCCATTGAGCAGCGCCATCCGTGGCTCTCGCTGATCCGCTGCACCATCTTCACGGCCTCCATTTGGGTGAGCTGTGGGATGATGCTCTCGCGCCTCTTCTTCTCCCGCGGCTATGAGAGCATCAACGAAGACGCCACCAGCTGGGCAACTGCGGTACAATACTTCGCCGTCTCCATTGCCACGCTAAATGCCTATGTGCAGCGAGAGCGTAAGTAAGATATTTCACTCGGAGCTGTTTCAAGAATTTTCTCTCAAGAATCTCTATTATCTACACTAAATAAGTGATAAGTATCCATCGGATCGATTTTCTCAATTGCAAATCAAACTAAAGCATTTGTTTAAAAAATATCTTCTTGGGAACTACATTAAATTTAATTGATTTCATTATTTTGCATGCTTTGCTTAAACCTAGCCTTTTTCAATTACATAATTGAAATATTTTATTTTATTATATATTTTATATTTTTATATAAGTTCGATTTACACAAAATTTAAAATGATCAATATTTATCGAGTTTTTTCATAGGGATTTCGATTTATCGTGATTTTCGATTTAGATATTTCCTAATGAATCACTCGGGAAATTCTGTACAAGTAAACTAATTTTAGAATATTTCTTGAGAATCTATAGCAGAAGCCAGGAAGCAATCTTACGTATCTATCTCACACAGCTCTATTATAACTTCCTCTTTTTGAGTTTTTTCCCTTAAAAATTCTGTTAAATGTGTTTCTGATCAATCTATTACAATTATGTCTCTGTAACATCCCTTCACCACAACTAGGCGTCATCAGGATGCTGCGCACAGCTCATGCAGATCTGCAGCAATTGATAATCGAGTCCGATGCGCAGGAATTGAATTTGCTGCAAGACACTCAACGCTATGTGAGGACCATAACCTTTTTGCTCTGGGTGCCCTCGGTGGTGGCTGGCATGATGGCCTATTTGGATTGCATTTATCGCATCATCTTTTTGCCAAAGACCGTTTTCAACGTGGATGCGGTGCGACGGGGCGAGGCTCAGCCCATTTTGCTCTTCAAGCTCTTTCCCTTTAACGAGCTGTACGATCAGTTTATCGTTGGGTATCTGGGGCCGTGCTATGCCCTGGCCCTGGGCATTACCACAATTCCCCTCTGGCACACTTTCATCGCGTGCCTCATGAAGTATGTGACGCTCAGGCTGCAGGTGCTCAAAAAACGGACACTCGCCATGGATGTAAGTGTATTTACGTAGTAAGTACTTGTATATCATCTTATAATTTACAGATTAGACATCTAAAGCCGAATCTCGTGGATCATCACTTGAGTCCGAACGAACGAATTTATTGGCAAATGCAGCTCTGCAAATACTTTGTCCAGGAGCAGCTGAAAATACGTGAATTTGTCCGGCAAATCGAGCGGCTCATTCGCATACCTGTGATGGCCGACTTTATCATATTCTCTATACTCATTTGTTTTCTGTTCTTTGCGCTAAATGTGGGCGTAAGTATCGACGGGAACTATTATGATTTATTTGCAATCTGCTAGCTGACAACATAAGCTAATAAGATTCAAAAGGTAGGCTTGGGTAAATAATATGCTGTGACTTCTTTTCAGGTGCCCAGCACTATGGATTATTCCTTTATGTTTCTCTATTTGTTTGTCATGGCTGCGATCTTGTGGATCTATCATTGGCATGCGACTCTAATAGTTGAAAGCGTAGGTTGAAAAATATAAAAATAAAAATTATTTCTAGTGTACATTCAATTGATGTGCCTTAAAAGAACACAAACTTCATTTGAAAACAATTTTATCATATAAAAAAAATCATTTAATTTATTAATTATTTTAGAAATGCATTTAAATATATAAAAATAAATATTTATGAATTACGTTAGTTATTAAAGTAGTAGTTGAATTGTTTTAAAAATTTTATTGTTTTTAAAATTCGAATTCTTGAATTTTTTTTTTTTTTTTTTGCAATCATTATTTCTTTATTATTTTTGTTATTTGTTTTTTTTTTTTTTTATTTTATATTTTTCTGAAAAAAATATTATTTTTAATTGTAATACCACACTGCTTATAAACAGACTTCTTTTTGCATAATTTTCAGATTTTGTATGCATTCTGTTTTGTGGAATACTTTTAGGCAGGTTCTAAAAACATATTTATTTCTTATTGTTTATTTCTTATATTAGTTGCTTTGTGATTTAATTATAATTATATATTAAACTGTTTAAACGCTTTTAAGCACCTACTTCACACTTCTTAAATGAAGTTAATTCAAATTTGCATATCGAAATAACAGAGCAAAAGGCAAAGAGTCAACTTACTACTACCATTACAACTTTTTCATTGGCCATCCTCTTGACAATCAGAAATGCCTCCTTTAATGAATAGCTGACGATGCTTTCTATGTTCTTTCATTACAAATCGTTTTTGTTGTCCAATCAATCGAGCTGACATTCATTGGCCATGTTTAACCTTTTGTGAATTGCAGCAGAATGAATTGTGCTTTGCCTTTTATGATGTCGATTGGTACCAGTTTGGCCTACCTGTACAGAGGATGCTGCTGCTAATGATGATGCACACCCAGAGGCCATTGAAGATCCGCGCGCTGCTGGTCGAGCTGAATCTGAAAACCTTTCTCGATGTGAGTCTGGTGGCCAAGTAATTCAATGACTGCTTAACGAACTTTTTCACTCTATCTGCAGATTATGCGTGGCGCTTACAGCTATTTCAATTTGTTGCGTAGTACGAATTCGTATTAGATTTGCTTTACCACTCGCAGTGCGCTTTTCGCTCTGCACTAATCAAATGCCGTTGCGCTTGTCAACTCGTCGTTTGGCTAACATGACAGTTAACATGGCTTGCAATTCATTTGCAAGGGAGAACAAAAACGAGTTGATAGACGACGAGTTGGCAAAATGCTAAAACATTTTACAGCGCAAATAAACGTGATGCCTGCTACTCAAAAGCCAATGGCAGTAACAAGCAACATCATTTATCACTTTTGAGTTGCGTCTCTCAAAGCGAGTGTCAGGCGCATTGTGTTTGTGTTTCATTGTAGAAATATATATAGGTATACAGTATTCAGTATACATATATGTATGTAAGTATATAGCCAAAGATTTTTGCAGTTTTTACTTAGATGTAAGTATGCACATGACAAGCAGCCAGGCCAGCCAAAAACCCACCCGCCCACCGGCCAGCCAACCACCCACCCAATTTCAGCTGCCTTAATTCTAATTGTCTGGGGGGTTTCTCCAGTTACAGAATTTATGCGTCTGGTCTGCGTAATATCGGAAAACGGTCTGTCAAGCAACCACCACCAGGTCCAAAAAATAGAAACTAACCGAATCAACCGAATTGTTGTACCCTTGGGTGTATTTTTTAATAATATTAAGAGTATAGACAAAAGCAACCGCACTCAAAACAACAGTCAGCGAGCCAAGCCAACAAACAATAATAAACACGCATATTGTTTGCGGTTGTTGCTCGTCCCGGGGATTATATACACAAAGTGGCTAAATGGCTGATAAAGGCGAACACACAACACGCTGAAGTGTGTCTCACTGCCACACAGCGAGGCACACAGAGAAAAAATGCAGATACTAATGAGTATTAATGGGCTCAAGCCATGGCAGGTATCCCTGCACAAAGGGTGAGGGTGCATATGGGGTGCCAACTAACTACTCCTAACAAGCAACAGACACAAAAAAAGGGTTGCTCTACACACAGCTCAGATACGCATCTCTAAAAAGTGAGCTGTTGATGTGGAAACAAAAAAAAATGGAATGAAACAAAGGCATATTTGGCGACATTAATATACGAAAAAACAGCATGTACTTCAATATATATGTATGTTTCTCAGATTTTTTTCTAAAAATGGTAAACTTTATATAACACTTTATTTATTATCAAAAAAGAAAATTAATATGTTATTAGAATATTAAATGAAAATAATTAACATCAATTGACGAGACTCGCATTCGAACCCGAGTCTGAAGAATAAGGTAAATAAGACTCTTATTATAAGAGGCATTTAATTATTTTAAAATTTCCCGCAAATAATTATGATATCGCATTAGCCATTTGTCATGTTTGTAAATAAATATCTATGTAGAAAAGGCCTATTTCCTAACGTAAACTCTTGAATGATTGTAAAATACCATTCCAAAAAGTACCTTGAGAGATTAAATTCTTAAATTCTGGATCTGATCTTGACCTGAACACCTCCTCATTTTTAATGACTATATATCTTGTATACCTTTAAATATATTTTCTTTCCCCTACTTAAGTATACTATATTAAAATTAATATAATATAATATACTATAAATAAATAAATAAACTTCTGTTTAAATTAAGTTGTCTAAAAGTTAGCGGGAGACTAAGCTGTAAATATATATATTTTATATTCTCGTTTAAAAAAATGTTTAATTTTAAAATGAAAAATTAATTAAATTAAATTAAGCTAACACTAACATTATTAGCCAGAAAACATTTTACTAAAATAACTCACAGTCGGCTAGCAACAAAGATACGAATTATTCGAATTGCGCTGCAAATATATAGTGTATATACTAAAATATATAAGAATATATTTATATAAACATAATAAAATATTTAAAATAATATTTTAAAATAAAAAATAAAAAAAATTCCACAATCTCTCCCCGACGGGGAATTGAACCCCGGTCTCCCGCGTGACAGGCGGGGATACTAACCACTATACTATCGAGGATTGTTGAACACAACCGGCGAAAACTTGTATTTATACTCACCGCTGTGCTCGCTGTGTTAACTAGCAAATTCTGTTCATTTGATGCGTAGCACAGCGAGAATCTATAAATAGACTGGATGCGAACCATTCGCTCGTGTCCAATTGTTGCCATCTGTTGCGGACTATTTTTAGCAATATTGGCAAATTTTTTATGGTTTTCGCTGCGCTGCACGTTTTGCGATTATTTATGACATAACGCATAACGCTGGGAGTAATGGATGTTCATTAAACACAATGAATGTCATGCATACAGCTCCCCCTAGATACGCATACTACACATGTATGTGCAGTCAACCCTCTTCGAACTGCCAGCTCTTGAGCAAAACGCCATTAGTCACCCTATTTTTCAGTTTTGCCAAAGAATAAAAATTAAAATTGTTTGCCTTTGAACACGAATTTGCACACATGTAATGAATATTTATCATTACAAGTCAACATTTTTTGGAGTACAAAGGGAACTGAGTGCTGGGCGGAACCAAATATATATTTGACTAATAAAATTGCACTTCTACTATGCACATGTGTGTGCCTGCATTTATATGCATAGGAAATGGATTTTATAATGCATATATTTTAAATAAATTGAATACTGTTCAGCCCGATTGATAAATATTAATAATATGATAAACGAAATAGTACTTTAAAAATTAATTATAAATATAATTTTTATTTTTCAAATAAAATAATTCAGTAAATTATTGATAACAATTTTTTTTAAAGGTAATATCGATTTAAACATTAACTAAGAGAAATATATAGATAAAATAAATAATATATAATACAAATATTAATCTATTGATTACCATTAATGTTATCGCAAATTAATAAATACATAAAATAAAATCAGTCAAATTTAAAAGAATTTTTTGATTAAACCAAATTTATTTAGGTTTTGATTCGTTCTAATAATACAATACATTTAGAATTCTCAATTAACTTATGCTTATTTTTTCTACTATGAATTAAAATGTTTCTTTTATTTATTTTTTTTGTTTTTTTAATTAATATACTATGAATTGTATATTTTTTAAAATTATTTTTCTTTATTCATTTATTATTGCAGCTCTTTATTTATTACACTGCATTTTGCTCAACTTAACTAATTAGTCGGACAGAATGTAGGTATTATTTATTTAAGCCAAATTCTAAGCCTTTATTGGTTTGCCGACAGTCCAGATGATGACTATATTTATTTATTTATATATATTTTTGGAAAACAACAGTTGGTTATCTAAGGAATGTCTGCAAGTTTCACATGCAAAGTTCATAAATCAGTCCACATACTGCCTGCCCTCCTCCTCCACAGCCCCTAATAGTAAATAGAATAAAATTCTTGAAAATTCCTGGAAAAGAGCTGCCAACTATTTCAGTAGTGCAGCCCCCGGCTAAGTCTCGAATGCATCCATACACAACATTCGATCCAACTAAATATTTTACTGGCTACGTGTCTAATTCAAACTGTTTTTTTCTTTCTTTTCTTTCTGATTGCCACCCTTTGAAGAAGTTAAAGCAGAGGCGAGTGGGCGTGTTTAGGGGCGTTCATATGGGCGGGTCAGTTGACGCTATTGTTTTCATAAGTTGTTGTTGCTGTTGTTGTTGTTATTGCTGCTGCTGCAGTTGTTGTTTTGGCATGTTTATTGCACTGTCAACGGCAATGCATGAAAACTTTTAGTTAGCCAAGTTAGTAGCTGTTCCTCGAATGTTGGTGACAAACCCATCGCCCTCTCTGCCACTACCCCACCCTCTCTCTCTCTCTCTCTCTCTCTCTCTCTCTCTCTCTCTCTCTCTGCGTGCAAGTTTACAATTTTTTCCTTTCTCTATTACTTTTTTTTTCTTTTTTTTTTCAACATCGACCGTAACTGTTAATGTGTTTGAAGTCAAATTGTTTTCAGTCACGTGAGCGGCAACAACTGTGAACACACAACAACTTTATTCATGATTAATCAGTTGCATTTAAATATATATTACGAGTATTGCCCCCCTCCGTGGGGTCGGCAATGCAGCTAGCACGGCTCCTTCTTGGCTCGGATCCTGGCAGCTCGACTAATTTGTGCGTTGAGTTTTGTTTTTAGACAAGCTTCGCTGCACATTTGGGAACAACAGATGGGCTACCCCTGCCCCCCTCCCCTATGCTCGTTGGCTCGCTCCTCATCAGCATTGAATATTTAACTTTTATGCAACTACAACTTCATTCACTTTATGGCGCTGGTCAACAAATCGGCTTACATTAATTATATTTAATAACCAAACGCGTAACAAACAGCTGGTCAAGTTTTTTTTTTTTTTAATTTTCATTTTTAGCGTGTGTCGCTTTAACTGTGCCCCATAAATGTTTAATGGTCCAAACACTTAACGTGTGCCGTGAGTCAAAAACAACACGGTCAGAGTTCGTAGGTAAAGCGAAACCCAATTTCAGGACTCATTTTAGACAACTCAATGATGTTGTAAAAAAAGCAAATAAAACACGCGCACGAAAGTTACCAAATTGCAAAGATTATTTTTAGCAAATAAATTTCAATTTAATGCAAAATTAAAATTCAGTGTAAATTGAATAGAAGCTAATCTTGCCACAAAACTGATTCAAAACGAGCTAAACGCACATTAAATAGCTTATATTTTTCATCCACTTATTTACATTTACAATTTAAATTTACGAAAATAAATTTCTGCTTTCTTGCCTACATTTAAAAATTTTCATTAGATTTTTTGAGTTTTGATTATCCGGTCCCTGCTGGGAGCCCGCTTATATAAGGGGTTATTAACAAGAAAAATCTTGAGTAAAAAGAAAAAAAAACGCGAATAATGTAAGCTGTAAACTCCGATCAACCCCACGTAAACTCGCCAGTCAACATTATAGAATCATCCACGACCTTATCACGACTAATAAACCTACCAAATTTGGTTTGGTTCTTCCAAAGTTAAAAAACAGAAACCTAAAAAAATACAATCTATATCTGACAAATCCGATGTCGTTCGCATATACTCAACCAAACAAGAAAAAATCAAGTCATCGGATATTCCCATCTGGCATT